AATTTTTAGTAGTCAGGCTATTTATTTTTCTCCTAAAATGTAAATGTTTAAAATTCCCTGTTCACATAACCAACTTTTAACCCATGGGAATGGTTTTTAGCAGTATCTATTAATATGTACCATGGCACAACAAATCACACATCTTTTCTCACAAAACGGTCTGTTCCAGATCAAGCCTACAGAGACTTCTACGTGGTGTGTTCAAAAAGTATCAAACCTTTGGTCGGCAGAAATACATTTATTGATTTGGAGGTACAAAACCCTAATCCCCTTCAAAGTAGTCTCCTTGGTAATGCACACACTTCTCCCAGCGCTTCCGCCATTTTTGGAAACACTTCTGGAATGCGTCTTTTGGAATGGTGATCAGCCGGGCCATCGCATTCCACATGATGTCTTCTTGTGACTCAAATCGGGCCCTTTCAGCTTGGGAAATAGCCAAAAGTCACACGGAGCCATGTCGGGGGAGTAGGGAGCCTGACGAACCACAGGGATATTGTGTTTGGAGACGAAAGTCTGAATCAGAAGCGCAGAATGGGCGGGTGCGTTATCATGATGGAGCTGCCAAGATTTTGCTGCCCACGGATCCGGTCGTTTGTGCCACACAGCATCACGAAGGCGACGAAGGACCTCCTGGTAGTATTCCTTTGTGATGGTTTGCCCTTGTGGTGCGTACTCATGATGCACAACCCTAGGGGAGTTGAAGAAAACGGCCAACATGACCTTGACATTGTTGTGGACCTGCCGTGCTTTTTTTGGCCTCAGAGATGTCGGATGTTTCCACCGTGACCACTGCATCTTGGTTTCCGTGTCGTACCCATAAATCCACGACTAATCGCCTGTGATCACGGTGTTCAGAAAGTTGGGGTTACTGTTTGCATTGTCCAGCATGTCCTGTGCGATTTCCAGACGGCACTGCTTCTGCTCCATTGTTACCAGTTTCGGTACGAATTTCGCGGACACTCTCCTCATGTCAAAATCCTCGGTCAAAATTGAATGTACCGATCCAATGCTTACCCCTATCTCGTTCTTAAGTTCTTGGACTGTGATACGATGGTCCTCCATGACCAAAGTCTGCACTTGCTCAATGACATTCTCATTTCGGCTTCTTGAGGGTCTTCCTGAACGCGGGTCGCTGTCCACTGATGTGCGGCAATCTTTGAAGCGGTTGTACCACTCTTTTATCCGTGAGTTGCTCATGGCATCTTCCCTGAAAGCCTGTTGAATCTTGCGAATGGTTTCCACTTGGGTATCACCAAGCTTTTGGCAAAATTTGATGCAATATTGCTGCTCATGTTGTTCCGTCATTTTACACCTTACTGGAATCCAACGAGCGCTCACTACACGTCTTCACTCATAGGCCGACTGCCAGCGACTGACGCTTTCTGCGGGCGGGAAAAAATTCACAACTGCGCATGAATGTCCCCTCCACATCTCCACTGAAGGGAGCCTCCCGCGCTTCATTAGTTTACGCGGGAAAAAAGAAGGTTCGATACTTTTTGAACACACCATGTATATGATTTTCACCCAATGCCCATAGCCTGTTACAGGGATAACTTTACTAAGACAGTGTCATAACCTTAGTGTATATACATCGCTGCTCCTAACCTCTGACTCCTAATCACATTACTGGCAGATGACAGTTTTGATCAATCACAGACTTTAATCACAGGCTTCTCTGCCATGGTTCAAGTCCACGGATAAAACCACATTTGCATAGCCACCTATGTTATCTGGATAAATAAATTAGGTCTGTAATGCAGTAGGTGGGAATAATCCAAAAGACTAAAATATATATTGTCACATGTTGGGAATGTCATGCGACAAATAACTTTATGTGGGTTTCGGATTTAGCGAATCTTTATTGGACACTCACTCTTACACTCTTTATAATTATTATCAGTTGTAGTACCACTTGGCTTCTGTCCCAGTACTCCATACACAGTTCTCTAATATTCTATATTCAACATGTGTCGTAAGCTCTGCTTATGTAGGTGTTCTGCGGACTGGATACCAGACACCATTCCTCACGGTTTCGTTTCTACTGTCCACTGTTACGTAACGAGTCTTTCGTTGTTCATCTCCGTGGAAATTCGGCGTTCTCTACGCAATGGCTCACTGTTAGAACTACAATACCGCTATTGTTACTTCTTATGCAACGGTCTGTTCTAGCGTTTCCATGGAAGTAACACTTCTGGATTTCAAACATGTGACATTGCTCCCTTCTAAAGGTTGTTTGTCCCCAAACAGCCTAAAGGTTCTTCCTCTCTTCCATTTCTGCAGTGTTCTGCTGGCAACGTCTGCATTCGGTCTTGGTGTTCTGCTGGCATCTTCAGTGGTGCTCGTCCTGAGCACTCCCGTAGTCCAGAATTTGTCGATTGCATTGCCTCACATTCATTCTTGCTATGGAGGCCAGTGTTTCTACTACTGGCTCCTTCCATGCGGGCCATTCCTCTTTTTTCATTTTGGAGGGGGTCAAACCCTCCACAGTGTCCAGTTTTTACTCCTCTGCAATGGGACACGAGATGTGGAAATTTGCTTTGCAGTTTCCAATCCCTTTATTCTCCTGAGGGTCTTGTTGGATTCCCACTTGCTTCCAGGTCGTAGCTGGTCCTCGAAGTCTTGATTCCTGGTTTCCTTGGTGCCTTCCTGGCACATCAGTTGTCTCCATCTGGGAGTCCATCCTTTCTGGGTTCTTCCTGTAGAATGGTTTCTGGTCCAATTCTTCCACCATCCCTGTTCGACTAGTGGTCCTTCTTGACTGCTTTGAAACCTGCATCTCTTGAGCTGTGTCACTTTCGCACAGCGGGTCATGTTCAGCCTGCAGATGTCTTTCTTGGGTCGTGCCACTGTTGCACGGCGGCTTGTCCCTCTGCGGGCGACAGCCAATTTCTTCTGGAGTCCACAATTTCCCCGTGTCGAGTCCTTCAATTCGTGACGGTGGCGCTCTGTGGCCACTTTTCGGTCCCTACGCCTTTTCTTCTTCGGTTCTCCGACCGGCATTACTTCAGCGTCTTCTGTGGGACCTCTCGTCATTCTGCCGCCTCAGGTTTCCTGTCCAGTGAGGTCGGCTTTCTCTCTTCTTGACATGCCCCCATCTCTTGGCAGGCCAACGTCCCTTTTCTAGTATATGTTGTTTCTTCTTCAGGTTCTTTGGCCTGCATCACTGCAGCGTCTTGTACAGGTACTTCTTGATGCTCCACTACGGACTGCATCATTTCTGAATGGGGCTCAATCTTCTCTGCATCTGTCTCCATCGCTTCTTGGTAAGCTGTCATCTTTATGTCATTTTTGGGTTTGTTTCCAGCCACTATCTTCTTGTGGTTGGCATCCCTCATTTCTTGCCTGGCAGCCATTATTTTGTCTCGTGTGGCAACAATCTCTTGTAGCCGGGCTTTTGTATCGGCACTCGTCTCTTCTGGCCTGACGGTTATCCTTCTGTTTCATATATTATGCTTGTAAACTGTTTAGTTAAGAGCACTAATCCATCATGTCACACTATCCATTCAACACATGAATGTCCTCGCATAAGGTCTCACTCATTTTGCCATTTTCATGACAAATTATCTACAGAAAAGGATGCCGGGATCTTAGTCTACTTTATGGCATGTTCTTCTAATTTCTTGCCTGTGTTATATGTTTTTTATGGTGAAGTGGAGAATGTTGGGTGTACTGTGTTGACTGGCTGTGCAATCAAAAGATACTGCTGAGAAATAGTCCCCATTCATGTTGCAATTTTTTTTTTGTGTATTGGCTGGATATGTTTCTGCTTTTAATTGCATGTAGTCTCATCATAATGTTATATTTTAGCGTCCTGTTGCACTGATTTTCATCCATTATATGTATACAGTGGCCGTCTTGTAGTGCACTCAATTTCACCTGTCACTTCACAACATGTTTCGGTAACATAGTGCCATCATCAGGTGTCCCAATTACGTCAATCTATTGCATTGCCTGCCCTCATATATTTTCACAACACCATTTAAAAAGTATTTAAAAAGTCTGTATTTGTCAATTATGATAAACTACACTCGCTAAAACTTGTTAAGATAATTCATCTTATTTGTCTTAATTAAAACTTGCATGTGGTTCGTTCACTACGGGGTCCTTTTTCTTATTTTCTGTGTAAACCGCGTCTTGTGATGTGTGTTCCCTTCTTAGCTGCGAGTGACAACACTATAATATTGCAAATATATTTTTGTACGTTCATCCCTAAACACGTAACCAACTTTTAACTTATGATGTTGAAAAATTAATCAATTTTCAGTACACAATTCAGCATAAATGTGGTATATTTATTTTTTTTTTTACTCACACACACCTGATGATTGTCAAAAGAGACCAAAACATGTACTCTGATTAATACAATAATCTGACTTACTGTTTTCACTTGATTACATTATATTATACAACAATCAAACATTCTTGTGTAATTGTGCAAAAACCTTACTATCATATATACAACAGGATGCCTATGATAAAAATAAAAAAAAAATCAATGTATTATATTTAAGAGACATAACTGAGAAAAGGTTCACAATTTTAATAGCTGTGTACTAATAAGGATATAAAATTTTGATTACAAAACATGAAGGAAAGAATCCACTTCAAAAACTCATGAATACCTGAAAAGATAACATTACAACAGATCTCAAGGAAACCAGGTATTAAGATATGGGCTGGATCTATCTAGCTAAAGACAGGGTCCAACAATGTGTTTTTCTCACTATAATCCTGAACCTTCAGGTTCCTCAATAGTGAGGAATTTTTTGGCCTAGTATTTATGAGCTTCTCACAATGGATGCCACTCCACAGTACAATTCTGTTCTAGTGACCTTAGACTTATACGGCTCACACAATTTCACTTAAGTATCATCACACAGGAAATGCCAATCGATTTATGATCAACAGCTTTAAGACCCAAGGTGACATTTTGCACAGTCACCTTTCATGAACTAATCTGTTTAAACAACACGTCACATTTCAAATATGTAAATACATACCTGAATAGATTCCGCACTAAGCCCGACTACTTGAAGCCACTGCTCTAATGATGGAACATGTTTCCTTTCTGAAGGCAGAATATCATCTTGCAGTTTTGCCTTTGTCATCAGTTGGCGGGCAAAAAGTTTTATTAACTTTCCCTGTAAGTTAAAAATTAACTTCATAGCAGTGAACTGGATAATCCTATGCTCACAATAAACAACTGTTTCTATAATTCAAGACTCTTGAGACCATTTAATGGTAAACATAATTCTTCAGTTATTGGTTTATGTAAAGGTTACAAAAAAAAAGTCGTACCAGCTGAATAAATTTATAACACAAACGTTAACCACAACCCTTCAAATGCATTTAATTCTAACCTCTAGGGTTCTTATTTCCTGTTGTGTGAGCTCTGCGCTTGTTGCACATTGTGTTCTCAGCCCTTCCAAACGATCTGCAGAAATGTCAATCATAGACTGCACAACATCTAGGATATCACATCGTGTTTCTTGATGTGCCTCTTCGTCCGCCATCACATATATCGTACTAGCTACAGAAGTGCTTCATGTTTGGAAATTAACCAATAGTCCACTTTTAACGTTACAAATGACAGTTTTTGAGGTAAATACATTTTAAAGATTCAATTCACTATAAAACGTTCCGCCATCTTGGAGATGTATATACCCCCGGAAAAAGTTGAGATTAAATATGGCCCCGGATAGCACTCTGTGGACGCTGTAAACCGTTGCAGACCCCTGTAGACCATGGCTAAACTGTTCGCAGGAAGTAGTAGCACCAGTTATCGAGGGACTGCCCCATGTCATATGCAACGAAGAAAATGGTTTTATGGTTATATCAATTAACTAATCCGCATTATTAGTAACTTCGTTCTTCAAATCACTGCAGATGTTTTGAAACAAGTGGAAAGGATACTATTAAAATTAAGACTTGTTGAATACTGGGTTCACAGACGTTTGGATGCACTGGCGTGGAACAGGTTCGGAGGTAGGAAAAGTTTCATGATGTCTGAGCCTTCAGTTCTAATACCAGATTATTACTTTCTTCTTTGTTTTTAGTCATGCAATGCCACCACATTTTAAACAAGGCAGGTATCCAAGATCTGGTGCTGTATGAAGAATGTATATGCACTTCATTTGTTATTTGAATTGCGTGTAAGCGCTAGCAAAACAAGTAGCAACATTGAAAGCCTCAATAATGAAGCCTCTTGTCTTGCGAACTGAAACGTTACTGCTGGACAGTAAACCCAATCTCATGATTTACAATAATTTAAAACCCTATCAATCAAAGAAAAATTCCACCTATGCTCTTAACGTGTTACATGCATTCTGTATTTATAATATCTCTTGCGTCAGAAAGAATGGATGGATTTTACAGGGCAATAATATCGGTAAGCCTTCATCAAATCCAAATTTTATTGTTACCATCAGATTCGCCGATACATGCAGTTTATTTGTGGAATACAATATCATCCATATGACGTCCGTGGCTTCTGATACAGACGTCGAGGCGTTTTCTGAAGTTATTCATCACTCTCACGGTCATTTTTGGTGGAATAGCCGCGATTTCTTCTCGAATCGCTGTCTGCAGCTCGTCCAGTGTATGTGGTCGATGTTTGTAAACTTCCGCCTTCAAATAGCCCCAAAGGAAGAAATCGCAGGGCGCAAGATCGGGCGAACGTGCGGGCCAAGGAATGTCGCCGCGGTGCGAGATGTGCCACGGTAAGAGCCCTCTCAGGAGATCCGCTGTTAGTCGCGCAGTTTGAGCAGTGGCCCCATCTTGTTGAAACCAATGTCCTCAGCATCAATAGGAAGCTCGTTCAGACTTGGTTGCAGGTAATTTTGTAACATTTCAACGTAACGAGCACTTGTAACGGTTACTGCACGGCCGTCCTCAAAAAAGTAAGGCCCCCAAACACCAAATTCTGCTACAGCACACCAAACAGTTACTCTCTCACTGTGAAGATGTCTCTCGTGCAGTTCTTTAGGATTGGTTCCTGCCCAATACTGGAAATTCTGTATATTTCCACAGCCGGATATGTGGAAATGAGTTTGGTCACTGGTCAACAGAACGGCGGTAGGGGGTACGCTCGCAAGAATACCCTGGCAACTGTTAACACGATTCACCCAGTCTCATGCATGAAGTTCTTGCACAATTGCCATTTTGTAGGGGTGAAATTTAAGGTCTAAATGCAAAATGCGTCTTGCCGTAGCGTCGGGTAATATCAGAGTAGCAGCATGTTTGCGAGCCGATCGTTGATGTGACTGGATGACTGACTGCCTCCACATTTGCAGGCGTACGAGCGCTCCGTGACCGTCCAGGTGATTTCTTCTTTAAGGTTGAACCTGTGGCACGAAATGAAGCCACCCACCGCAAAATTGTGTTCCGAGTAGGAATCCCATCGCGACGTCCGAGCTCGAAATGAGTGCGGAAGGCTCGTTGAGTGGCGATCACAGACTCTATTTTTCAAAAACGTCTCTACGACGAACGCACGCCGTGCACCCGACCACTCCATGTAACCAATTGAAACTGCATTCTCCCGCCGACCCAACGGTCGACCCCCCCCACTTTACGCCTCACCCCGTCGCGGCGTAACGGTCGCCTGAAATCCATCCATTCTTTCTGACGCACCTTGTATAAATTATTGAATTGCGAATAAGTTATACGTAAGGGCCGCGCCATAGCTCAAGCGGTTAATCGCTGGCTTCGCACCCCGGCGGCCCTGGTTCGATCCCGGGTCTGGTCAAGTGGGATTTGTGGTTGACAAAGTGGCGCCGGGGCAGGTTTTCTCCGAGTACTTCGGTCTCCCCTGCTAATCTTCATTCCACCAATTGCTCCACAATCACCCTCACCTATCATCTGGGGCTGGTACAATAGGCCATAAGTGGCCACAGTACAAGGGACTTAGTCCAACCCCACTAGCAATAAAAAAAAAGTTGTATGTACTTTTGCGTAGCTATGATTTCGATGGATGTCAAAGTGCAATTTCTTTTTATTTATCATAACCGGTTTCCTTAGGGTGCTTTATTCATTTCTTAAGCCCCAAAACTTGATACACATTCATTCCCGGTACAAACCTTTAGGATCATTGCTTATGTTTCTGACATTTGTATTACTGTATCATTCACCAACATTTCGTGAGCAAATACAATTTGGGCATTGTCAATCGCCCTGTGGGATGTCGATTCCAGTACTCAGAGAGACAACCACGTAAATTTCTACAATATATATTTGTTGCTGGTAGAAGAAGAGCATACAGACGAGCAGGCAAGCAGAGTGTGCAATAACCGGTGAACAATGCTGTAACTGCCTGACAAATGACGGCGAAGCTCCGGCCATAGCAGGCTGGATGTGCCAGCGACGGTGGTCCTTTTTGTTTGGCAGCTGGGTGAATGCGAGCAGGCCGTAGGGCAGTAAGCGCTGGAGGTGATCTTCCCAATGGGTCTTGGGCGTCTTAGGCGACCGCTCTTGGAGTCGGCTGGCAGTGTAGCTGCTAGGAGATTCTCTGTGGCTGTGTGTGCTCCAGGTGAGGTGTCTCGAAGAGCAGCTGCAACCATTCCGACCACTCCAACTGACTGACTAGGCTGACTAGTGCGTCAGAGGTCTGCATCTTTATCCGCTGTTGCTAGCGGTGCCTGACCCAATTGGCCTTGGCGCAGCTGGCCCGCGCTGATTGGCTAGCACTTGTTTTGCTCTGCGGCCAACCAGAAGTTGGTAGTTGTTTTGGAGATGCATTGTGGTAGGCTCACACCGTCCAGTATTCCAAGACAAATTTCGGAAACTGAATCGATTCCCTTCCCCCAGGTGGGGCTAGCAGATGCCTATCCAGTTTGGTCCGTCAGGGAGGGCTAATCTCAATCACTGGACAACCTATATTTAAGGAACATTGCTGCTGGCCTCTGCCAGCACTCTCAGTACTTGTTACCGGTCCTGCGGGACTCACAAAGATAGCTTTCCCTCTCTATGTAAGTATAACCACAGCTGGACGTGCACCTGAATTCATGGTTTGTCAAGAGAAGATAACAGGAAATGTACAATACAGGAAGTTCTGGGAAAAAATAATCGCCTAGTTTTCTTTCACTATATGCTGAATATTTGATACAAGTTGGGCAAAATTTTAATATGGAGGAGTCTATGTAAGGAAGTCAATAAAACAATATGAAATCGATTTATAAAAACTGAATTGTGCGTGTATCAAAACGTAAGTAAGTATGCTGTTCAATGGGCTCAGGTGTCATTATATACATATCAAGTTTCATGATGATTGGTTCCAGCTTTCAAGTAATATTAAGCTTAATACCTCAACAATCTGAGAGGTTTCAGTGTTAGTATTACTGATGAGAGGAATATATGATATATTCCTTGAGATTGCCTCAAGTATTGCTTATGAAGTATCATGACAATCGGTTCAGATATTTAAGTAATACTGAGGTGATTACTTTAGTATACTCATATAAGAATTTGAGGGGCTCCAATGTTGGTATTGGAAACAAGTGTAAGTACTGTAACTTTACTCTCTTATTGTAATCCGCCAATCGTACAGTAACTGACTTGTCCTGTATCATGTAACAATGATCTATAGAGACAAAATAAATAAATAAATAAATTAGATGGACTCAGGTGGCATGATCTACGTACAAAGTTTTACTACAATTAGTACAGATGTTGAAAGATTATTAAGGTTATGCCTCAGCAATTTGAGTGGCTATAATGTGGATATTACTGACGAAAGCGATTTATGAAGTGCATTGTTGAAATTAGCCAGGCAATCAGTTCAGGCATGTAAATAACATTATTGTTAATACCATAACAAATTGAGAGACTGTAATATTAGTAATGCTGATCAAAGGGACTTATGGAATTATGCCATCTCTGTACAGCAAGGATAGCCTGACCTTGACATGTCCTTCAACCCAACTCTCACCATCACTGAAATGCCTGACCCACTGCCTGTGCTCTTATAACTGTCATGTCCCCATATACATTCTTCAGACATTGGTGAATCATAATGGGTGCAAATTTGTCTTCATGCAGAAACTCAGTATCATATCACTGCTTCATGGACACATCAACACCATTCTTCATTTTCATATGCTACTGTAGTCCAATCACCTGGTGTGCAGTGTTGAAACGTAACATTTAAACTTTGATTTTTCAGCTTGTGATCCTGTTGGGTTGTGATACCATGAGATCTTTTAGGTGGATATCTACTTTTCGGAGGAGCATGTTACCTCCATATTCAGGGTTGAAGTGTATGGCATAATGAATAGGGTCAGTTATATAGGCAAGTTGCAAGGAATGTGGTCACCGAGACCCAACAGAGGGAGTAAGGAAATGGAGCCTGATCTAAGCCAAATGCAAATTATGGGTTGGGAAATTCCCCTTTTACAGAAGAGTTATAAGTTAATGTCTCATCATCATCAAAATGCAGCAAAAAATCATAATGTAGAGACAAATGATGAAGCCTATAAAAATTTAACAGCATTTGAATATATGGGAACATTCACTCTCCAGTATTTTTTGTTTTCTGTTTACATGGCCATCACAATAAAGCAAAGCCTCATCTGAAAGAAATGCTAACTCCAAACCATGTTTGTTACTATGAACTGAGGATATCAGTTACATAAATTATTGGATTACGATTGTAAAGAGTACACAGCTGTTCATCTTTTGTGTGTCCATTATTTCACTCCTTCCTTTGATACATCTCCCACGCTTGGTCTCCTCAGTGGCTGCTTATTCAACTCTTTCAGCTCTCAAAGGAATATTACTGTTCATGTGTAGCTCATGTCCAAACCACTGTATCCTTAATCTGACCAACTTTTTTTGTAGTGTATCTGCATTCTAATCTTACTGAATATCCAGAGTTTATTTTATTCCTCAAGGTTTTTTCCCTTCTCCACAGTGTCCTGACCAACTCTGGGGCCCACCCTGCCTTCTATCTAATAGGTATTGGGGGCTATTTCCCTGGGGGTGAAGCTGACCACTCACCTCCATCTAATGTTGAGGTCAAGAAAGATGGAGCTATACCTCCACTCCCCCATGTTTCTTCATAGCATAGTGCTTAACAAATTAAGCACAGGAAAAAAAACATTTTTGATACTGTACAGAAACTCCACTTCTAGTGCTTGTTAACCTGTAGTTATTCCAGTCTTATTTATATCATTTATGAAATGAATAATCATCATATCTTCATTTATTTTTGGCTAATAAGACTCACATTTGAATTTGATTGCAAGTATATGGCTTCGATGACGATGTTACAATGGAATAAGTATTACATGAGTGAAGGAGAAAATCCTGGAACATAAAACGTGATCAGGGGTAAATAAATTGTCAATTCTACTTCTGGACTTGCAGTTTATTGACACACAACCAAATGATGGGATCTTACTTTGCAGGTAATACATATATAAACTGATCCTTCTCTTGAATATAAGTTACTTTAGACATAAGGACAGTACTACTGTAACACAAGATACATTTGAAGTTAAAAATCAGAAAATATATGAAAAATCAATATTACAATGTGACGCAGGTCTGTATGTCTCTTTAATGAAGTTAATCTGTCTACTTGGAATAAAACAAGTGGAAAGACGTATTCAAATGGAGTTCGTTTTCCAATTTACATATTACGTACATATCCCATTGTTTTCTATAGTAATTTATTCCAAATATAAATTTATTGTTGAAAACTTATTACACTACATATTTACAAAATATTTTTCTTGTGTGAAGTTAAACATTCAACGTAAGAAAATATTTTAAATAGAAGTTGTTGATCTACATAAGACCCATATTTTCCACACTGAGCATTAAAAAATTTATGTCTGATTTGAGCTCCATGTAAAGCACACGTTATTTTGCAGCATAAACCAAAATTAAATTTGGGCAGAAACTTTTAATGTAGACCCTCAAACCAATTCTATCAAAATCCATTCAACAGTTTCAGAAATGAAATATGCAGAAGGATGGGCAGACAAAACTTCCCCATTAATATTAATTTCATGCACTGTGTGCAAAGAATGTATAAAAATCTGTATTGGTATATGGTATGAGAGGAAACTAGGACGTTATATGTAACAAAATTAAGTGTTCTATATTTTGGAAGGACTGGATGGAATGCAAACTCTCAGATAGGGCACATGTAATGGAATATATCACTTGTATGACATCTATAACTAGATATGAAATTTCACCAACTTGGAAATTTGTTAAACATTTCTTGCATTACATTTACAAATTGAGACACACAAAAAAAAATTGGAGAGATTTTTCATTTTGTTTTACCTCTATATAAATAAACAACATTAGTAATTATTATTATTACTACTACTGTAACAGTAATATATAAAAAGTCTGTTTTTGTTTCTTCGTGTGACAGGATTTTCTTTGCTAGATTAACTGACACGCATGCACATACATACACATACTATTTAAATAAACATCTTCCTTATACATGCTGATTCCTAGTAAAAACTATTTACCTCTCTTCTGCTTGTTCATCACATCTCAGTATACCACAACCAATTTATGTTTCTGATCTCTAGAATTTAAGAGGTATCACTCACTTTCTGTGCCATCTCCAGTGTAAAAATGAAATCATCACTTACTGTTATTGTGTGACACATAATGTCATACAGAAGGTGTTTAGCATTCCAGAATTATGTCTGTGGATACACAACCACACATTCATCACAATTTACATTACTTAAAACGGACACATCTGTTAACTGCCAAACCACAACACAGTAATCAGACTAAACAGAATAGTAGTATTAACTTATCAGTTTCCATATAAAATGATCTTGTTCACAAAAATATATTTCACCATACATGCTGCTGCCATTAATTTCATCATTTTCCAGCAAATATACAGACACTGGTCACATTGAGGGTTGTTCAGTGCAAGGCAACATACCATAATTAGATTGCACATAATTACTTGCTTGACCTTCCACAGAAACATTCAGATAAAACCAACAAATTTAAAAATTTAAAAACTAATGAGAACAGTATGAATTTATCTGTTTCTATTATCTGTGTCTCTAAAGTTCCCTTTGTTATCATTTTTATAACTTTAATATAGCAATATTATATCCTACCTTTCACAGGTTCATTAAAACACAAACCCAAGTGGACTAGAACAAAGTGACATACCCAGGTTTGATTCAAACTTGAGCAAAACATAGATAATAGGAACAAACATCAAGGTAAAGGTAAAGTTGTCCCTGTGCTTAATTAATTAAGCACTATGCTATAAAGACGTATGGGGAAGTGGATGTATAGACCCATTTTTTCTTGACCTTGGCACTAGCTGGAGATGTGGTCGGCTTCACGCTGTGGCCGATTTAGCCCTGGGGAAGGAGCCCCCAGTACCCTTATGGTAAGAGGCTGGGTGGGCCCCAGAGCAGGTCTGGATGACATGGAGAAGTGAAACTTCTTGCCCCCACCAGGATTTGAACTCCAATTCCTTGGTCATACAGCTTGTAGCCAGTCACTATACCAACTGCATCATCCTGGCTCTTAATGAACGCTAATAATTACACTGAGTTCCAGCTCTTTCATGTAAGTCAACAGATATGAAAGTAATTCTGGAATAACAGATGCCAGAGCGTGCTGTATCTGTTGCTCAAAGGTAATTGGGAAACATACAACTTGCTTATCACTAAACAGAAGTTACAGCTATAAACACTTCCACATACTGTTTTCTCTCCTGCACATATGTCCTGTAAATTTAATTACTGTATATAACAATACATGTCAGCAAGATTAAGAAAACTAATGAGGGTATCAGTCTGTGGAGAAAGGGACTAATCAAGGTACCATTTTACTAAATATAAAATATGTCACCACAAGATCATATTACATTAAAGCATACTTAGCCATGGTGGTACCACCATGGCACCGTAATGCTGACAGTAAGTAATACAGCCCATGATTTGGAGTAACAGTCAATGCCAATATGCCACATTATTACACATGACAATGAATTCTGGTACATATAGTAGCTTTCATAGCTTGTGTTACAATGGAAAACAATGCATTAATAAAGCAACTATACATCCAACCCACCGGGTGCAAAAGAGGAGGGGACAGCAGGGAGAAATTATGTTTTTAATTAAAATTCAACCCCTACAATGGTCTTCAGACTTTTTCAGGAGTTGTTTCCATAAAATCATACATAGGACAATAATGAATATTATTTCTTCCAAGAGTAATACAGGAGAAACTGTGTATAAAATAAATGAGTGATTCTGTGTATTAAACAACAACTGATCCTTAATGGCACTAAAACAACACACTGCCAGTGCCTCATTAGACAGACGGACACAAGTGATGAAACATTGCAATTCATCCATTTCTCCCCATGTTCCATGGGTGAGATACTATGAATGTCAAAATACTAGAATAATTACTTAACATGAATATGTGGAAAAATATATGCAGGCACTTAGAAATATGTGACATACAAGTTTACTCTGCACACCTGCAATGATATCAAAGAGAAAATTTGGAGGCATTAGTTCTGGAGTGACCTGCTTCATTAATATGAATGTGCTGAATTTCAACCTGAGCTTCAAAATGCTGTCTTGTTTACCACTTTCAGGAAAAAGGGTTGAAACATAGCATACATGTAGCTGAGGATATAGCATGTTCTTTTGATGAATTAGTAGATGACATGACAATCTCCTGATCAATGGCCGAGTCATATTTGGCATTATATTAACTAACAGCTACATGCTTACCACTCTCTGAGCTTAATCCTTGATATTTTTCCACAAATCAGAGCTGTAGTTTTCCAAATAAAATGGTGGGTGTTAGAATATTTTCATAATCAGCATATAAAAATACACTAAAATCACTCAACTTTATACCAGGATTGTATAATGTCATGAATGGTACATCAAGAGGGACGTGGAAACAAATAGTATGACCTATTTCAAGCTGCCATTCCAAAAATTACTGAAGGAAATAAGGCAGATAATGGAACTCAACCAAGGCACTGGTATCAGATCAAAATTCAAACCAGTTATTTCCCATAAATGCATACCACTAAGTTAATATGCTTGGTGACATACTGCAATGTGAACACATTTGATTGTTTGGTAAATACGCATCTTGTCCCAGATGACACTTCTAGGACTGTTTCCTTTGTTACAACATAAAGCAGTATCACCACATTTATCTGACATTGTCCAATGGCAGCTTCATAAATAGATGAGTTTTGTCATCATATGGTGGTGCAGATCATCAGTTGCAGCAAGCCAACATATATCCTGCTAGTTAATACTGTCCTGTCTAATGGATCATTTGGCTGCTGTTTATACACAGTCAGCCCAGGCAAGTTCACAGAACACCTGGGAGATATATCTACAAGGCTGAGCATTGTATGGTCATTTCTCTAATACCCACAAACCAAACTCCACCTCTTGACATTCTAACCATTATATTTGATTTTTTAATTGATTCTGTGCTACAGAAATTCAATTATTCACTTTTTAGACATTATCCATCTTATTTTTTATTTAAAACAATGTTTCAGAGACTAGATTCTGCCTCCATCCTCATGTTAAAAAGACCTACTCAGTTGGTCCCTATCTATAGAACTAGTCCCTACCTCCAGCACCACAACCAACCCAACAGGATATATAAAGAAATTACAAAAACTATATTTTTGAGCCTATATTTATATATATTTTTTGCTTATCTGTGATTTTAAAGGTTGATAGGCTGTGTCCTATAACTGATTTTATAATATTTATATTTGTCCTTTTAAGATTCTGACTCAGTGGTTTCAGCTTCTATTTCAGCCAGACTGTGATCTTATTTCTCTGGCTATTGGATTATGTATTGCCTTAAGTGCAAGGTCTCATGCATGCAGTGTTTCAATTTCTGTAATACATCCCTGGTCACCCACATTCTAGCCACATGCCAATCCCAATAGAACCTCATAGATTTCACTATCCTAATATGTGGTTACCTGTACAAATTATGAAGGTTTCTATTATATATAATCCTAATCTGCTCACATCATTCTTGCCAGACATTAACATTTTCCCGAGCACTTTGTTTCCCAGAATATATTGTTCTTATTCTTCCTTCTAATTAACAGACAAAAGTTCTCACCAATATCAAATATCTGTCAAAATGATTTTGTATGTGCTGGTCATCAGCATTTTGGAAAACAGACTAGATGATAACAGTTTCCAAAATATAACACGCATTTTCAGAATCTGTTCTCCTATTTCATCATAAACATCAGTCCAAGCCTTGGTGTTCCCTAAGGACTTTGCATATGACCCTGTGCTCAGCAATCCCAATATACTGTGGTCCCTGGAAGAACTTGGCCTCCTTTCAGGAGTACCTCTCACCCCTCCACATGGACTTGCTGGTTAAGAGTTAGGTCCACTGAGTTAAATGCCCACATTATTAGTCCTAAGCTAAGATAATAGCATCATATAAAACCATGGCTAAAGGCAATGTCATAATTCACCATCTTAAATACTTTTAATATGTGGCTAAGAAATTATATACAATCATCAGTCAGGTGTTTACAGTTAGTTTTACTTTTACTGACACAGACACACACATATACACATACAACAGTTCAGATTCTTAAATAACAACACAAAATGTAACCCTTATCACCTCAACTGTCAGGGCAACCCCAAACTATCAAATTTCTTACATAAATCCTTTGCTGGACATAATGACATATAAGTAATTCTTTCACTATGAGTGTGTGTCCATTGCCTAGAAGGGCACTTTTTGACATTTTAGTTAAAAAATCAAAGCTGTAGAGGAAGACAGGTATAATTTTATTTCAGGGCGTAAGTATTAAGAAAAACTTACCATATCATGTGCCTATATTCTATTATGGAAACTGGTAAATATTCTGTCAGGATCTTCATATCTCATTTATAAAATCAGTAAGACAAATTTTAAACACTACTTTCTGGGCTAAAAGTTCGGCAGATCATCTGTATACCTCTAGAAATCTAAATCTCTTCAAAACATGTCCAGTGCATAGGACACATCCTATTATGAATATTCATCATATTTCATAGTGTACTGCATTGAACAATGTGATGTTAAAATAAAATTATACTGGGATTTAAGATGGCACAAACCATCTCCCAGTCTGATTACTTATTGACGCAGGAAGGTACCTGTCATGAATGGGCAAAGGTTCTTCCAACAGAACATCATTTACTACTTCTCAAGACAAAGGCTTACTGTCATGTATAATAATCTGGTACAACAATGTATTTGATAGATGAACTTAAACATATGGAAGATTCTTAGAGAGAGAAACAAACAGTACAAAACAGTAGCATACCACTAGGTGTAGTTTAGATAAATGTTAACTGTTGATGTGTCATCATCAAAATTAAAATTGTAATTATTTATAACAATAAATTAATTCAGAGACTTGTCTTACATTATTTTATAGCAAGTATGTATGTCTGAATGATTCTTTCATGGTTATTAATAAAATGCGAATACAGGCATATAGAAAGCAAGGGATAAAATTATTTATGGTAATAGCCTACACGAGCATTAAAAAAATTAGTAATCTAACTTTTATACCCTGTAGGTGGCAAAGAACGTTTTAAATTTTAATGTAACATTACTTAACTTCAAGTTTCATGCATAACTACTTCAACACACATACACTTTGTGTACCTGACAAACATATAACAACATTCTCAATAAATTACTGGCTCAGACTTGTGGCTATCAGGTGTTCTTTATACAAGGTAAGACAGCATAACATCTAGAGGTTATATCCATGTCCTAGCATCAAAAAATGCCTTTCATTCACACTAATGGTGAGAATTCTCATTGAAACCCAGTGAATCACTCATATCAATCAAGGATGAAATGCTATCTGGAAAATCTGACAGTAATCATGACAGGTCAAGAACACAAAAGAATGAAACACTGTTGTATCAAATGTTGGTAAAGCTGTTGGATTTTTCAAAAGCACGTTAATTTAATGAAGGTTACATAAGCCAAAGAGCAAATAAAATATAACCTACATTTTCATTAAAATTATACGTGTGTATGTGTGTAATAGCCAAATGTCTGTCCCACTGTTTCTTTCAAACAGCATATTAGAGAAAAAATTCATAAAGACAAAACCCTGGAACGAACGTTAATATTTCTACGTATTATGTGCATAGGTTCAAATCCAAGCTAGCTTATTTCCCCATTATTTCCTCCATAAGAAAATCAAGATTATGAGTGCATAACCTTCACACACTTTATAGTAATCATGGTAACATGACGTGTACACTGCAGTGTGATATAATTTCATATTTATTTGTTTTAACATAATCTAGCTGTGTATCTAAGTAGTTATAAATAGTGTTAAGTTCTTATTACATATTTAAGTATGGGGAAATTCCAAATGCAGTTAGGCCATTTTACTGCCAAATTACAATTTTATTTTAGGATAACTCAGATGTGTGTTCAAGTAGTTATAGTGCATTACAATTTTATGAGAAATTCCAAAGACATGCCATTTTAGTGCTGAGATACAATCTTCTTCTAACAGTCTACCCCACATGAATTGTGTTCTAAAAGTCACAAAAATTACATGTGAACCCCAGCAATTACAGATGTTACATGTAAGTAACTACCACACACAACAAAAACCGTTTCTGAAACTGCAGTGCAAATTTCTCTGCTCAGGTGTTATTTGAATGACATACAAACTTAAAATTTAATTGTCAGAGCAAGTAAATCTACATGGATGCTGTCTGGATGGACCACTTTATTTCCACAAGACCAAAATCCAACCAAATTTGAATATAATTTGGGGTACTTTTGTTTATTGCTACTACCACCACCACCAAGCAACAGATATATATTATAAAACGTTCAGTTACTTTTGTAATTTGTCGGCAAAGCATGTTAAAAATTTGACTATGGAAAATCAGAAAATATGCCACTAGATCAAAGAATTTTCTACATATTTGAGATTTTTGGTTTCATGGTGGTGACTATGAAAATTACTGTCTTCAAAATGTGACATCATGCAGTCTGGCAGATTGCTTACCAACATTTCCCAGAGATGGAGCCAGCAAGTTCTGCTGAAACATCAGTAAAAATCTACCACACTACACAGCATCAAATCCCATAAGTAATCTTCTCTAGATAGTTTTCTTTTCTCTCCATCAGGGCTCTCACTCAGACATTACTATGTCAAGTCCTATGTGGATCATCATTCTCAATGGGAGTAATGAATGTGGCAATGTCAGATAGCCTTGTGCCAGGTAACACGGTAAATACTCAGCAATAACATGTCTCACATGCAAGTTTTCAATTAATCACTGTCATTTTTCCATTTGTCATTTACGGATGGCATGGAGGTAGCCTTTCTGTATCATTCAGATAGCCTGTGGCAGTTACTTACTACTAATATATAGTCTCTCTCTGTTCCTATTTTTTTATTCCAAAGAAAATGGTGGGTTGAAAGAGCCATAATGAAAATTTAAATGGTCATTCTATGCACAGGGGTATGTCACTGAAACAGGTCATCAACACTAATCAGGATTAACTGTAATGCAACTCATTCTGAAAAAGTGTCCCAGAAAACAAGAAATGACACACACTGCAGAACACTATTCTAATCTACACCACATGTACAGATTACAAAAACACTTGTAGAGTAATTTAACGCCACTAAAATTTCTACAAAAGTTTAGTGAAGTTATATCTTATATGATCCCAGCTTTGGTTAACTTTATAACGTTATTTCCTATGTATATTGGCAGTAATCCTTCCCCTTATTACTAATGCCAACAAAAAAATGTAGACAATGTCAAGTGTTAATAGACGTTACAGTTGGGTATCACACAATGATTTATACAAGACTGAATGTTACTAACAGAAGAAAAAGGCAAGGAGAGGATGTTTAAGAGAGAAAGAAATAACGAACTGAAATTAAAAAAAAATACGGACAGAATAAATAAAAAGAAAAAAGATGGAAGATCCTTTGTTCTTGATTACTGATTCTATATATAAACAACACAGAGTACAAATGGCAATCATAATTACTGAAACAAAGCAATAACGTACGAAAATATATTCAGATCACAATGAACAGATCAAATGGATCATTCTATATTAATAATAAAATATGACACAATTTACAATAAGACACCATTACTTAAACATTTTGCATGTCTTTGGGATACTTTTTGATAAAAACAGTCACTTGAAAAAAACATAAAACATACAAAATAACAGACACCACTTTTACAGAATCATTCCATGTAAAACAATGAACAAGTAATCAAAAGAGTTCAAAATTCTGACTGGCAGACATTTCTTCTTTACAGATTTCAAGAAAAGTTTAACAGTGATACTTCTGACACAGATATTGTCTACAAAGACTGGGCATGGCTGTCCTCTACCCAAAATTCAATTATGAAAGTGTACAGAATGTGTGCACATTTTACAGTTACACACAAGCACACAATTAAGTGCACAACACACTGAACTTCCATTACTGGACATAAAACTTGGAGCACCCTGTAAACACATTTAGAATTTTTTCGAGCATTAACTTCTGTAGTGGCCATTTTATTAATTTTCCCATCTGTGTACTGCTTGTGTAAGATCTGCAAAGTTGACAGAACACATGGGTGTATGTTACGTGAGGCGTTTGACCTAACTGTTATTAAAAATTTTGCTTTCTTTAAAAGTATTTCAGTCATGAATGATTTACTATACTGCATTGCAGACACCATTTTGAACCTGCATCCTTTTCCTTCCTCTCTGAACTTCATGTCTGATTTTCATCCAGTTCCAAGGCATGCATTAAAAAGTGAATTAACCTAAGTTCATACTTCCCAAATAAATATAAGCAAAAATATTAAGACTAATTTAATTTTTACCTGAATCACATATATTATGTACAACCTCTGCAAGGAATGTGTACGGAAATGAAAGCACAAATTGTTCATTATATTCTGTTAATTCCGTACTCTGCATCATGGTCTACTTTGGGCAAAATAACTGTAAAACAGAAACACAACCATGTGATTGTTTGACACAGATTCACTGTGCTATATGAATAACTGGCAAATGGTTCATACTGGTGTTTAAACTATCAATCAAAGAAGACAGGAACATAATCACATATAAAACTGCCACTCCCATGAAAATGCCCATTAATTTCCTCTTGTATTAAGAAAGTGTTGTGGCAATAATACTGACGAGTCTGAACAATTCCAATGGTTGAAAATACAAAACATATTCGCAAGAATCCATTTCAAATCTCATGCTGCCATTAAAAAAAGAAACAATTTTAAGAAATGTTCAGTGCTCTCTATCAAATCATGAGAAAGTTTCAATTACACAGGCAATTTAGAATATTATCAGTAACAAACAGATAACATCACATATTCATTTATGCATCTAACAGTAAATATTACACTAAGATATGACTGTATCTACATAATATGAAAACTCTGTACTTCTTCATGCACTGTACTTATTGGCGGTTCAACGAGTATATGAACATAGTTTTATTTCATATTACCTGTTATTAAAAAAATGTAATGGAGGAACTGGACTTCAAAGACCACTACGGCTAACAGTAATGTTTTGTACTTACTTATTATAATTGACTCTAAGCACATTCTGAATACCAGGCAGAAAAAGGAAAAGAGAATGGATTGTATCTGGTTCAAAACATGAAGTCAAATCAAGATTGCAAATTCCAAATTGCGTCCACAATACATACATTATTACTTCCTGTATTCCAAACTGTGACAATGTGTTAAGTACTGTAAGTCTGAATGAAGAATGCAGTGAGATACTGACTGAAAGTATTTGCTGGAGCATAACATTTCTGCAGGTTGATCCAATATTCATGTGTCATATAAAGAGGTGGACCTCAACATAGTTTGTAAACTGAAGCGATGTTCCACTGTTTACAGCAACCCTATGTAACAAAGGTATTACACTGTATCTTGAACGGTTAAACGGAAATGACAGACAGAACTACAGTGTCTACTTCGTACACATTCTGCGAGCCTCATTTGTTAGTTCATGGCACAATGATGAATTGTAAGACTGCCAAAATAGTTCTGATTCTGAAAGAGTATAAAATTCATATCTCTGCAGACATTTTTAAAATGTATTACAGTTACTATTTTCTTGTGTTACTTTAAGTCTTATGTAAATTCTGCACAAACAAAACCGCAAAACTACCGATTTTCACTGACATCACACAATCATTACAACATTCTAACATGTCAAAAGTATGTGTTTCTATCCTTATTTCAAAATCTTTACTGACCTCAGTCCTTTGTACGACAAGTTTTATAAAAATGCTTTGAAGAGACTACTCTCCAAATGCCAATTAGAAGATTTTCTTCAATGTCACAACTGTTTAGGGAAGCATCATATCACAGAACACCTCTTCCCTAGAGTATTTTGGTTCATAATGTAGAACACCATCAGGAATCTGGAAGGCTGTAACTATAACACCCTCTTACACTGTTCACGTAAATAACAGAAACTGTAAATTCAGTATGGTGGTGGCCTGTTATATCCTCTGCGTGCAATAGGAAAAGTCCTGGCCCCTGTTAGATAGCTGTAGGTTGCTTGTCTGCGGTGTGGTAACGTTCTGTTTCGTGAGTACCCGTGCCCATATCCCACACTGCAGACCTGTATCCCCACTGGGCCCAGCCTTCCCTATACTGAAATTTCATAGTTCATGTCATACACACTTGCACGGTCAGGTGTGGGTGTTGAGCTGCGGTGAGGCTCCTGCACCACAGATGTGGGTGTTCCTCCCATTGGGCCTCCAACAGCAACAAGTCCACGATGTTCTCCATGAGGAGTTCCAGGAGAAGCTGATGTAAGTTCCAATGAGTCTGTCATTTCTAATGCACGCACAAATGACATGGGCCTCCTGGAACCTGGACTGGGTCGCCGTCCACCATCACAAGATGACACCACAGCTGTTGATGTTGGGGTTGTAGGGGTGGCCATGGTCTTGCGTTTTATCTGTGGAGATTGAGGTGGGGGATAGACAGGTACACCACCCCTTACTGGAGGATAATATGATGATGCAGAAGGTCTTTGTCCATACAACTGTTGTTGCTGCTGCTGTTGTGTGGGACTTGTTGGGTTGGATCGGTAATAGTCATAAACACCTGGTCGTTGATGCTGTGTGGACAACTGCTGGTGATGATGCACTGGCCCAGCCACACCATTCCCTCCACTGACATATGCACCTGGAGATGTGTCTTTCCACATATACACTCCCCGTTGTGGGGACCCTGCTAACTCACGTATATTGTCCACTGTGTTGTTGGTTCGTGAATATGCCAGTTCACCTCCTGATCCACCTTGCCGTACCAACTCTCCCTCTGAAAGAAATCGCCTTTGTGGGCTGCCATATGTTCCACCAGGTGCAACTCGTCCACCAGATCCATGCAGTTGACCTCCATTATGTGGGTGGGTGCTCCCTATGTGCTGCTGTTGATGCTGGAAGTCATAATATGAAGGGGGGCCACCTGCTATGCCCCCAACTCCAATGAAGTCTGGACGACGAGGCTGTGTTGGAGTACCCGGGTTTGACCTTTAAGAGAACTAAATATAAGTGACTAACACACAAGAGAAGATTAAACAGTAAAGTACCTTCAAACATACATCCATTTCAACACACACACACACAAGAGCAGGAGTTTATCATTCAACTACCCTATTTACACAGACTGCATAGGAAATACCATGACATTCTTTACTAATCTGAGATTTACACTTTGGTATACTCTGACAGCTGCAAGACATCTGCTCATTCTGATTAAGTTAGCTATTTGGTGGGCTGTGAAACATCTGACGAAAGTCAAAACAGTGTATGTGCTGGCCAAAAGGTAACATAAATCTGAGGCTTTTCAAGAATATTTTAATTAACTATGCAGGTACTTCAGAACTCTAAACTGTGTGTAAATGGTTGAAATTTAAACTATTAAAATCTCGGTACTTTTCTGGACTAATGTCTATTTTCCTAGTGATCCAGAACTTACCCAACGGTCGCCGTCTAAAGCCAACATTTTAATGATACAGAAGCTTGATCTATTATTACGCTAATGTTATTAGAAATATACCACTTATATGAGCTAAAATAATAACAAAAATGCACCAGAAAAATAATTATATGACTGGATATAAAAAAGCTACAGCATAAACTACCAAGCTATGCAGATACCTAAAGAAATAAGAGTATGCTTTAGGCTTAGCAAAATTAAGTTCTATGAATCTTAACTCCCAGCAGCAAGTTCCCCACAAAATGGGAACAAAGTCATGGAATATAGGATGAAAAAAAGCCAAACTTGCAATTCCTATACCAAATAATTATTGATGAAGACTCCAACTTCCTATAGCTCTGAAGTAAACTTTCGATTTTACCATTATTATTTAATCTTAATATTACCCTGTAGCCTCTTTCCTGGAGTCCATTCAACTAAAATTATGTATGGATTTCTCATCTCCCCACATGTTACAAATCTTAATCTCTTCCTTTTTTATTCAAAACTGCCTTAATAATATTTGACAAGAGTCCAACTGGAAAGCTCCTGTTTATTTCCTTTCCTCATGTGAAATTATATCAACTCCATTCCCACACACCCTCAATCTATGTACAGTGAGAGACTGTACCATACCATATTATTTTTAAAACAATAACTTTATGGAACAGAGTCATTTTCTTGAAGCTAACAGCCACTGACCTATTCATGAAATGCTCGAATGTTTATGGAACCTAAAGGTTCATCGCTATGTTCAAATTACAAAGAGCAATTAACAATAATGACTTTGATGCTATTATTACTTATGCAGTTGATAAAATACCGTTAAAGAAACCAAGAACCAATGAACAATGAAGGCACAGAACTAAAACACTTTGCACAACAAAGGGCGCTAAGCAAGAGACTGAGCAAATAATTGGAAGTCATCCTGTTTACCTTGTGAGGTAACCAAACTGACGTAATGCGAAGAGTTAACTAATGAGTCAGTTCAGGTGGCAGCCAGATGAGGAGTGCTCCCTTAAGTGGTTAACATCACCTGAAGAAACACAATGCATGTGCCAACATGCCTCCTGAGTACTCCGCAGAGAACCTCATATACAACCTACTCATACATTTTTCAAATGCATAGAATATATAAAAAGGCTTATATAATATATACAGGGTGTTTCACGACTTTAGGGCATAACTGCAGGAGGTGATTTCCTAGGTCTTTGTGATCAAAAAAGTTCATATAAACATGTGTCCGATCTTGGACTGTTATGGAGTTATGACCGTTTTAAACTCAAAACAGAAGGTAACGATTACTGACAATAAACGGAACAAAATAATAAACCAGCATAATACATGATATATTTAAAGTATGAATGTAAAGTTAACGTCGTGAAATTACCTTTAATTTGAATTGATTGGTGCTTAAAGCTGATTTTCGAAAATGCCATTGCTGGCTGCAACATAGGCTGCTGCTCGGTTGTGAACCGCGCGGGTAGCATGTAGCAGCTTCAGCTGGCTGTTTCGTATGTGGTCAGCGGCGTCCAGAATGCGACTGAGCAAAGCATCTCGTGTTGCCACCTTCATACTGTAAACCAGTTCTTTCATCCATCCCCACACACAATAATCCAGTGGGCTTAAGTCTGGAGACCTGGCTGGCAATTCTTCACGTACTCGTAAGTGGACTGCAGTGTACTATATGAACAATGCCTTCTTCATTGACGCCTTCATTAACAACACGCTCGGCCGCAATACGAACGCTGGGAGGTCTACCAGTATCTCGCAATGCCTGGTAAACTCCAGTAAACACTCTCCGGTTCGGTACTCTACGATTCAGAAACCGTTGCTGATATTCAGCTATGGCAAGAATTGAGTTACCGTCACAAAACCTGTACACATAAATCATATCTGCATACTCCTCAAATAAAAATGTAAATGGCATCGTGAATGTAACAGACACACCAAGATGAGAACTGTTCTGAACACCAGTACCCACCACACTAGCCGTGACTGGACATACCAATCCAACCCAACACGCCTTAGATACCTCTCAAGTGTCGAGATAACAAGAATACTCTGTCTGTAGCTGGCTAAAAATAGTGACCCGCCAGATGATAAGACGTGGTTCACACAAGGGCGTGTATGGGAATGAAAAAACGGTCATAACTCCGTAACTGTCCAAAATCGGACACATGTTTATATGAACTTTTTTGATCACAAAGACCTAGGAAATCACCTCCTGCAGTTATTCCCTAAAGTCGTGAAACATCCTGTATATATATATCTGCAGGAGGAAAGAGATGTACTGGACCAATCAGCAGAAGACCTTCAGAGGAACAGTATAAAATTTCTTGCAGTTTTTCAGAGAGAATGAAAATATCCAAAGTGGAATGAAGAGTCAAACACTTTCAGTTATAGTAAAACTCTAATTATACATTCTATTTACAAGGACAGTATCAAAATTCATGCCCGGTTTACTACTACAGATTGTGCAAGAATCGCCTAAATGTTTCATAAAAATGTAAAACATTCTGTTGATGCAAAGTTTGTATAGTATCATGGACAGTGAGTAGATAAGAGTTCAGAAAGAGGCAATCATATCCTAGTTGAAAATAGTGTCCCACTGTTTTCCTGGAGACTATGGAAAATCACAGAAAACCCATATCAAGATGAGATTCAAACTGGATACCTCCCCAACACAAGTGTAGTGCATTATTACTATACCAATCTGCTCAGTGAGGTATCTTCATTCATATCATATAACACAACTACATCCTCAAAGTATACTCTTAATTTTTTCAAACAAACCACCAAAACAAAACAGCAAAGGGTCATTGCCACCAACAGTGTATACTCACATAACATCAACATTTTCTCTAAAGGATCAAAAATTCGAAATAGCCCACTTAAAAGCACACATACACATAAAAGTGTGGCCATTTGCACCAACAATACATGCTCATGTAACACTCACCTCCCCATAACGAACAAAACGTTTGAAAACACATTATATATACATGCACCATTCCCCCTTAAAAAACCTCTACATATAACAGGATAATTTTCAGAAGACTAACACTAATCTGAAATAAGTTCTACAATTTTGGACATGTATTTCAATGTATTTAAACATTGTAATTCCATGTAAAACCTTTCCCCTGACAAGACTATTAGCAATGGATCCGCTGTGACACAGTCAGTAATGAATGTGGATGCACTGTGCTGTTTATAAATGCCTCATGATAGTCATAAAGGACCCAAATATACAGCAAAATAACATGTTAATAAACTGATTTTATTGACAATTTTAAGTCTACCAGTTATTTATTAAAAGTGATCAACATATATATTTATACAGTAGTACTCAAAAGACATGTTGAAAATCATTTATTACATGTAACAGAAAATCGGTATCTAAGCACTGGCCAGGTTGAAAGGCAAATATTCTGTGCATTCCTCATAATAAAAACAAAATCTCTAAGTATCAACCAGACTTGGAAACAGCATGGCAGTTACAGCAGACACCAGACACATCATACAGAGCATTTAGCAAATGGCTTAGGAGAGTGGCAACAGGTGTCAGTGCTGAGGTTTACCAAGTCAGATGGAAGGAAGAAAAAAGCGTGAAAATGTTGTTTCTTGGGATTTTGGACTTTATTCGTCATCCTTATTCTAGAGAACACTAAACAAATCAATGTTTTGGAAATTTGAACAGTTTCCATCCTCAGGTGAGGGGTTGGAGACACCAACTCTGATGGGTCTCTTAGAAAGAGCTAACCTCAGCCACTGGACCAGTACACCTGAGGATGAAAACAGATCCAGTTTCTGAAACACTGTGTCCTTTAGAATACTGGACAATGGACAAGTCCAAAAAACTAGTAATCCTGAGTGTCATACAACATCATCAGAACCCTTCAAAATCTTCTTGGGAGTTACTACAGTGTTAGTGCTTACTGTGGGAGTAGAGATGAACTGAAGCTCAAAAGCTGACATGATGAAGACATAAAATTTTGCTTATGACACAAATCTTCTGGCAGAGAGCAAGGACTTCTATGGCATCAGAGAAAAGGAAAAATGCAAGCTGGACAGGAAGTGAAGTTAAATATTATCAGGGAAAACAAGTATATGATGATGTGATAAATGATTTTACACATATTCAATAACAAATAAGGGAACAGGAGGGGAGGTGAGAGGTTTATGACTACAAAGAAGGGTTTTTTGATTCTCAAAAGGAATAATAAACCATTTTTATTTTTGGATTTGATGTCAGTGAGAGTAAAGCATACACAAATGAAAATAAGCAAGGTTTTGAGAGATGTCATGAAGATAATGTTGGACACTATGCAGCAAAAAGATGACGAAGACACCACCCATTTTTAGTAGGGTTTACAGCTACTTTGAAGAAATATCAAGTACAGTGAAACCTAACTAATTTGGACTTCACTAATACAGAATTTGCGATAATTCAGATACCACTTTTTTTTTGTGCAATACAGCCTTGATGATCATATTGCCATGATCAGTGATCATAAACTGCTGTGTGCAACACTTAGCAATGGGTCTA